GAGCCTGTACGGCGATATGGAGTGCTGTCTCACCCTTTCGGGTAACCCAGCTGATTAGGTCTCGAGGTGGGGAGCTAGATAGTAGCAGTCGCACTACACCTGCGTGACCTTGTTGCGCGGCTAAATGAAGGGGCGTGAAGCCCGCGCTGTCTGGTAGGGCGGGATCGGCACCGGCCTGTAGTAGTACTGCTAATACGGACTCGTGGCCGTATAGTGCTGCGCGATGTAATGCTGTGTGTCCATGTGCTCCATCAGGTCCTCTTGTAGTGGAACTGCAGGTGCTCTCTGGGGTTCCGCGCGGGGTGTGTAGAAGTGGCGGTGCGGGTGTTGAGCAAAGAAGGTCTGTGTCGATTGAGCTTTGAAAGGGATGGGCTTGATTCTTGGGCGAGGTCGAGAGCGAATCGGAGCCAGAGCCCATGGTCTTCAAATTGAAGATTTGATGTGTATCCTCATCCAGCGATTGTGCCCAGGGGCTTCCGGTGAGGCCAACTTGATCCAGTTGTGAGATGTATGAATGTAGATCGGACGGCAGTTGTGGGGGGTCCTGCCGTTGTATATGATGGTGAGGATGCGCATATGGTTGCGATGGCCATTGCCCTGATGATTGTGGTCCCACAACAGGTTGCTGCTGTGGTGCCCCTGGTTGAGAAGATTTTGAGTCTAGAGGAGAAGACAGCCCACCGGCGGCTGATCTGGCAGTGGCTTTAGTCTGTGTGCTGTTCTGGGATGTGGGATTCTCGTCCCCCTTGCGTAACCCTAAAACTCATCATCAGCTCTGTGATCTACCAAGATCGTCCCGCTCTATCCACCGAGTCTCAGTCTCCATTTTGCAACCAAAGACAATTTTCCTACTCACTTTTTCGATATCCACGTTGGGCAATTCGATTTTGCGCCCGACGACGCTCCACTGGGTCACTGATATTCGCCCAGTTCTCGCCCAGCACTGGGGTTCTAATCACGAAGATCATCGATTTAGCTTAGGCAACTCCAATCCAATTTGGAGTCAGGGGGAGGGGGGGGGACGAACTTGATCATGATGCATAGAGGCTCACCTAGCATGGCCATGCAGGCAACAAGTAAAACAACCACAGGCGGGGACCACTCATTCAGATCCACGGTGTCACAAAGCAGTCTCAGTCATGATACGCATTAATTATCAGCATGGCTCTGGTCTTCATCTCCTTTTAAATCTTGCTGACGAGGTGGCACCCAAGGACCAACCATCTTAGGTGCTGTTCGAGCGAACGGCGGCAGTCACCATCGACCGTACCCACTGGCAATGCGCACTTGTTGCTTACGCATTTTGATACGGAGCTTCCTTGATTATACGGTCTGGGTATACTCCATTGTAAAATATTCAGCAAAACCTGTAGAAAAATCCTTTGTTCCTGGTTGCACACGCTAATGCAGACTAATGGTCTGAGAGTGTTTTCGTTTGACCAATAGCCTCCATGCCTCAGCGATCGGGCTAGCGGCGCCCTAGCCATTGCAAATTGGGCGGTGGCACGTTGCTTGGGGGCTAATTCCCGCATTCTGTCTACCAATCGAGTGCGGTGTCTTCCGCCCATTCCAGGCCTCCATGCCTACCCTAATACCGGGAGAGTCCCTGAGCACCCCCCTCCCGAGAAACTTACCCGGCGATCACTCTGATCACTCTGTAAGTAATCTGGGTTATTTTATCGATCATTGATCCTCGTATGTCTACACGGTTGATCTCTCGATCGGTTAATTCGGGTGTTGATTGCCCGATATTAATGTTACCTAGAGGACCTTAGTGTCCTACCCTGCCACGACAGTCCCGCCGAGAAGGGACGCTAATGTGCATGCTCATGCTTACTTTTTTTTAATAGTAATACGAATACTAAGAATCGTTACTAATCAATTCCTAGTATACAGATCACAACTTTTTCCATATTTACTTTGTTGTATGGATCTGAAAGAATAGCATATTTATTACTGGTGGCGTGCATGCAGTAGCGTCCCTTCTCGGCCGGGCTGTCGTAGTGGGGTGTTTTTTATTTACAGGTATTTGTGGGATGCCAAAGCTGACGAAGAGCCTTAGCCTTGAATTATGGACAATGCTCAGATCCCCCGTAGGGCCCATGGTCATCCATTAGGCAAACCAAAGGCGTGATTCGTGATCTGACGAAATGGCAAAATGCAACACATCATCCACATTACGAGCGTTGGCTTAAACGTAAAAATTGGATATGACAGACAAGCCATCAGAGCCTTGGAATATCTTCACAATCACGTCAGCCTGGGGATTGGTAAATATATGGGGAGCTGAAATATTCATCGGTTGTTATATCCAGTCTGGGCCGAGATAGGGCCGATACCACATTCTCTAGCATTGGGAAATGACCGTGAGACCTTGATAGAAAAGGAAAATGGCCCCCAAAAGAATATATAGCAAGGTGTTTCATTGATGTGCGAGCGGGGTTTCCTGTCCAGGTGCCAATGCTAGCCTTCATCTAAATAGAACTCAGGTCGGTCAGCTTCCGAACGTACAAAGTGGAGAAGTCGGGGACTAATATTCTAAGCCTGCTGCACAGTGAGCATCCTTTGTTCGTAAACCCTAGCCTACTATACCCCATTAGGAAAGATCACAAAAGGAGGGTAAGCCTGAAAGCTTGGTACCCCAGAACCAACCTTGGAAGTACTTGTCTCGATGGATGCTAGTCTAATATGATGATCCAATCATATAGATGAACTCGGTCGCGTGATTGTCATACGGAAGTTGCAGGGCGTTGAAATCGGTCTAGACACGGATTACTTCGTACTCGTACCTTTTTACCAAGCCACACCCCAGTGGAGCAGTGCGGGTTCCGGAGTGAGACGACAGTTCACCTGACCTCAGTGACAAAAGTTCAGCCGACCGGCGGCCCACCCAAAACACGTGACCATATTCCTACCTCATCTCCACCAGTCAGCCCAATCCCACCAATCCGTTTCTAAAACTTACCAATACCCACTTCTCCACCAATCAGATTGACTTCATCAATACAGTGCCAAATTCATCAATAATCTATTGCAAACCCATTACCTAGAACCTTCTACGTTAATCACGATATCGGTCAAATCCTCAAGGCCTAGAAAGCTTATATGGCCGCGAAGCTAGAAGACCTTAAGCTTCCCCCTATTGAGCAAAATATAAGTATAAACTAAGGAGAATAAGTCATTATAAAGGTATTATTAAGGTATTATTTACTAAATATAATATACTAGGTAAATACGTAGGATCTAGTTTACTATAATAAGGTATATTACCGCGCTGATAGATATTATATTACAGTATATTACTTTATCCTTATAACCATAGTGTTACGCACTACCTAACTGGTCACAGTTATGTTAGTAGAATTACTATTTACCTATCGTAGGCCGAAAGTAGCTGCCTTCTCGCTGACCCTTCCTTTCTACCGGGTGTATTGCACGTGAATGCTGACTGGTCCGTTGGTTGGCTCTCGGTGGCCTATCTGTGTGCCTTCTGGGTCACCACTGGTTGGTGACGGGTAGGTCCGACATATAGCCCAGTACTTCGGCTATTACAATCAGTGGTAGGGGTAGTAAGAAGTTATCAATAATAATATCACTCTAGGCAATCTAGGAATAGTCCTCTAGGCTTATAACTGTAGGGGGTTTTATGGTTGCGAAATACTAGGGAAAGGTAGAAGAAAAGACATTAATAAAACATTAAGATATTAGTATTTATTATGGGTAATCGTAAAACGATTAATAATCAAATACAAGCGACCTGATCTGACCGGTGGTAAAATCATATGATTTGGGTGGGTCACCGGTCAGCTGAACTTTTGTTACAGAGGTTAGATGAACTGCGTCCTGCTCTGGAGTCGAACTTAAAACCTGCTCTGAAAACCAAGCTCGGCATTTGGCTTTGGCTTTACCGTTTTGCGGGTAGACAATTTAGCGCTTTATTGAACACTTGAATTCAATTTCGGTTTAATGCCGATCCACATCAATTTACATAGAAGTATTCAGTTCCCTACACCGATTGAAGATAATCGTGATACTACCGGCAATGCAACTTTAGATCTGAGGTCAGGCGTCCGAAGTACAGCAACTAAATGGAGTGTCAGCACTTCTGCAGCTGCAGCTGCATGCCCTTACAGGGACCTGGCTGCAGGTTAGTGCTGATTATTCCATAATACTAGGGTATTAGACTACAAGAGGCCGTGGCGCCGAGGGTTTAAACCTGCAACAAGTTACTGCATATTCCATTTTGGGTAAAAGTGATTATGTTTAAGAAAGACATAATCTTTGACGAACATGGCGTGTGTGATAAGATCCATTGATGCCTTCCCACATCCCTCCGTTCGGGTTTTATTGAAAACCAAGTGGACTATAATCAAAGGGTCGATCCAAGTATCGTGAGACAAGTGATGCTCATTTTTCTCAAACAGAAGTCAGTCAAGTCATCGAAATATTGTAACTTCACGCAAGCTCTGCTGCTAGTAGAGAAGAAGACAGACTGTCAACTACACTTTAAACCCAGTTGAAATGTGGAATTGATCAATTAGAAATGTGCCTATAGATGAAAAGGCGCTGTTTTGTATTATTCGTAGCTCTCAGTGTTATAAGTAGTAGAGATTGTGAATGGGGTGTTTTGTCCGCAGACAGGGTCTCTTCGATCGGTACGGAGTTGTGGGTGTCCACTCTCAATAAACGCGAGGAATCAATTGTCCATGCATTATGTCGGAGCCTATGGGGGATTATAACTAGCCATTCCAGGGCGACCCTGCACATCAGGCAGCAAAAATGGACCAAACAGGGGCTTAACGAATACAACAAAAATAGACGGGCGGCCTTAGCGCCAATCGATACTGATCTGCCTGCTGCTTCTGCTTAGAACCTTTCCAAGTCAATGAAAGCCAAAATGAGGTAGCCTGAAGCTCTTCATTTATCTAAAAGCGCGGTTAGTTCGACTTGTAAGGTTACATTGATTAAACAATCTTACCGCACCACCGAGTAATTCCGAAATGAAGCTCCCCTCTCTCGTCACAGCGAGTCAATTGACTTTTCCCTTAACATTTCAAACTGCGTCCCACACAACCAGCAATACAGCCTCGCTGCTTTCAGCACAATATGGCACAACACTCAACGTCGACGTGACGTTCGCCAATCAGACATTCAAGCTTCTCGTCGATACAGGCAGCAGCGACACCTACGTTGTCAGAAATGACTTCATTTGCATCAATCAAACAACCAACCTTGAGATCCCTCAAGCGGACTGCCAGCACGTCTCCCCAGGGTACAACGAATCAGACACCTATCGTTTGATCCCCAATAAAATATTCGGCATACAATACGGCAATGGTATAGCGAGCGGAGTCATGGCCTACGAAGACATCACATTAGCCGGTATTACTGTCCCCGGACAAGCCGTCGGAATCGTCGACCACAGCAATCCCATGGGCGACGGCATAAACAGCGGCGTGCTAGGCCTCGCCTATCCCTCCCTCACCTCCGCACATCCAGGAGACCATACCGACAATACAACATTTTGGTTCAATCGTGAATGCTACAGTCCCTTGTTCAACACCATGTACGAACAGGGCCTTGTTTCAGAACCCTACTTCAGCATTGCGCTCGCACACACGCCGCGAAACCTTTCTATGCCAACCTTCGGCGGGTACCTCACTTTGGGCGATCTACCGCCGGTGGCGTATGATCCGAAATTTGCCAGTGTTCCCGTAGAAATTTTGGAAAACATTCCGCCCGGTTTCACCTCTGGCAAGCGCACTCGATCATATTGGGCTTTTACCGTGTCTGCTGTGACATTTGGATCCACAACAAAAGTGGATCTCACCACGAGCACGACCTCCATAACTACCAACAGCATGGAGTTCCAGGTATTTACAGATACCGGGAACGACTACAGCTATCTGCCTGCTGTGGTTGCGGATCCCATCAATGCCTTGTTCGATCCGCCAGCTATCTACAATGAGACGCTGGGAGTTGCTGTCGTCAATTGTAATGCACAGCCACCGATGTTTGGAGTACAAATTGGAGACCAGACATTTTATCACGATGGACAGGATCTCATTTATCAGACCGGTGATGGGTACTGTGTCTCAAGTTTAGTGGCGTCGGAGCGTGTGGCGTTTGAGGGCATCATGTTAAACATTCTGGGTGTGCCGTTTTTGAAGAATGTGGTGTCCGTTTACGATTTCGGTAGAAATGAGTTGCGATTTGCGCAGAGGTCGGATTAAAAACTGGGGTTGGGGTAGTGCTTTATATATTTAGATGAACTAGTATCGAATCACGATTCATGGCCTTGTATTTAGTCAATTTCTCAACTGGATAGGGACATTCGCATCCAGTTCAATTCTAGAATTCATCTCTTATTCAAACCTCTCTTTGGCTTGGGCGGATACTTTGGTATGGGCAATCTCTTGTTCGTGTCTCCTGACCCGCTGCTCCTGCATGGGATTAAACAGTAAAGCTGCCGGTTACGAGTATATTATCGTGCTCATCAACAAGCTGCAGAGCAATAAACTAGCTCCAGCAGCAAACATAGGCGCGTACGAAAGCTGGGTCGTTCTGGAGATTTCATCAATGGCCGCCATTTATTCCTCGGTGCTGGCACAGCGGAGGAGCTGGATAACCGCATCGGTGATTGCGTTGGGGACTTAGCCCTCACTAGCCGTGGAGAACACCGACTGATCAGTCTATCAACGCTCTTGCTTTCACACTAATATCAAGATCAAAGTCGACATGAGTCTCATCCAGCTGAAGACAATAACGGCCCTCTATCCACTGACTCTCTCCGCACTGGGAGATTTCTTTACGACCAGTATTCAACGGCCATTGAGCACTTGTTCCATGACAACGACCCAGGGATGGTATAGCCGGTAACTCCAGCTGATTGTCAAACGCTGGGATCGGCCAAATTGCCCTGATGCAAGATCAGCCTGGTACTACCGCGACAGTCTGCATTCGATATTAATCAAATTCAATCGAGCTGGACGATTCAGACACTCAGCATGGTAGAAGCCAGCCCTTGCCACAGGAACCTAGATCTCGATACCATGACGAACATTCCGGTGAAGAACCACTACGGGGATCGGTCCAGTTGAAAATTTGAACTCAAGACTTTTGAACCTGAACTTGGTGAAAAGGTACTACTCACGACGCTTCCATCAAGATTGAGTCCTCGCCGTGTTGAGTGTCTCCTTTATTCCTAGGAGCAAGTGGCGACAGCAAGAGCGATAATCCGTTAGGAATCAAGACAAAAAAGAAATCATGAATAAAACACTAAATTGGATTTACAAACCATTTGACTGGAATTTTCTAAGATATTCCTCAATATTGTAGAATCAAAAATAGGGGGTTAGATATTTCCCGCAACAATGAGAGATGGTATCGTGAATACGAGACTTAACGAGCTGAATAGTGGTATAGCCGTAGAATAGTAATGCCAATAAATGTGGTCCCACTATACATTTGCCTCCCAACTAGAGGCGAAACAACTCAGGATCGACCGCCATGTTAATAACGCCAGCCTTTCGTTGAGGGGACAACGGTCAAGAGTGCTAGGTGAACGACTGCGTTGGGATATGGCTAGCGTGGTGCATTTTATTGAGGTGAGCTGCTGACTTAGCTGCTCCAACTTTGCTCAGATGACGCTCAGTGAGCGAGTTCATCCGGCTTATGTAATGATCAGGCGATGCCCAGGTGCTCAGTGAGCAAGTTTAATGATTATGTAATATTTAGGGGCGTGCTCAGTTTTACTCAGTGAGCAAAGAGCGGCAAGGGTGAGCACGAAAGCGAAAAGGGAAAGCCACCTCGCTCGGCCTAAAATCCGGTGTATATGTTCACCGATATGTATAGTTGTTTTGTATCCTGCATGCCTCTTCTGAGGGATCAGGCAAAATAAATTTATGTCGATCTTGTATTTCTTGAGTCCACAAATCATCTCTGGGGCTGATGTAAACGCAGCTTTGATCCTTTTGATGGAATTTCAAGTGATGAATAATCATTTCCATTGGACATGTAGCATTCCCTCCCGCCTTTCCTGTTTTCCGCCATCAGATATCCCTTCCAATCTCGAATCGTCTTCCGAAGTATCGACAATTTCCCGTATCTTTCATCTTTACCGACCCATCAACTGACCATGGGATCTCGTCTCTCAACTGGCGCATGCGCTTTGTAGTTTCATTGGGACCCCTTTCTGTAAATTGGATCCTCTCCACCTTCATGTGTAACCCTAGCAGCGTGCGTGTGGTCCGTTCATCTAAATCGCCGTCAATCTTAAGATTGATACAGAAAACCCATGTGTTGTACCACACCTCGTTCAGGCGGTTATTCCCCTTCTCCCCTGCACATGAATAGACAAGTTCCCTTCGGAGCCAGGATGGGTGGGGTCGTATACGATCCTGGTGATAGCATTTACCGTGCAAATGAGCACTTCCCTCAAATTTGTGTTTGATAGCCTGCTCTAGAAGTTGAATATGTTGGTGTGCAGTATCCGTGGTAATTCCATGCTGTCTGCCACGTGTATATAGCGAGCCATTCTTGTTCATTTGCTGGGACAGCAAAAACTCCTGTGAGCCCATGGAACTGGCTGAATTTATGTATTTCCACTATAGCATGTATTTACATCGGCTGGTTGGTGAGTGTACCTCATGTTTAGTGGCTCACTGGTGATAGGTTCAGGAGATATATCCAATCACCGTGAGACATTACCTAGATCGTCGGCTTCTCGAAATTAGGCGTATATTGATTAAATCGATCGCACACCACCTTTTCCCTTCCCGCATGCCCATTTCCCCCTATATAGCTTTCCACAAGAGACGTGTCTGTAAGATACGTCAGATTACTGCGGGGAATGTCAGTTAATAATTTCATCGATTTCATTGTCGCGGATGAACGATGCCCCTCCCCTCCCATACTTGGGAGACCCCTCGGACGGGTTCGCTCCTAGTCTATATGAAGTCTAGATTTCACATGGCACTATTGAAGCCCCTAGCGCCTTTACAATTACCCCTCATTTTCCTTAGTCCTCGATATTCTCACGTCTATCAAGTCTTAGCCTTATTAGTTCGAGTTCTATCTTATTCTCACGCTGATTCATTTTTGTTCATGACCTTCCACAAGAAATGAATTACAACTGGAAGGATAGCCTTCAATTTGAGGCCGGCAATACCGAAATCGACCCAGCTGTGTTAAAAGGTAAGCTATATGCTCCCGGCAAACTCATAAATTCGTATTTATATCAATTACATCCCAAGAGCTGCCGGAAGGATGCAAGGTCACATCGACCGAGAATCATGGCGTAAGCTTCTGGGCACAGACAGGTCGTATCAATGTTTTGCTTCGGGATGGAACACCACAATCCTTCTTCATCAAGGTTCTTTCGAAAGAACTAGGCATGGAGATGACCAGGGGTGAATTTCAGTCAATGAGCGCGATATATAATGTTCTGCCAGAATTTGTTCCAAGGCCTATCGCTTGCGGTACCTACAGCACGATACCAGATACCCACTTCTTCCTCTGCGAGTTTCAAGAAATGACTGACGATATGCCTGACCCTCATAAATTTACCGCTCTTCTGTCAACACTACATCAGAAAAGCGTATCGCCTACCGGAAAGTTCGGGTTCCATGTCACCACCTACGCAGGAAACTTACCTCAATTCGTGGGGTGGGAAGAAAGCTGGGAAGTATTCTTCTCAAAGACTATGAAACAGGCACTTGACCTAGAGATTGAAAGGAAAGGGCCTAGCGAGGAGCTCGATGTCCTCGCCAGTGCTCTATTTCAAAGGGTCATCCCGAGGCTTTTAAGGCCTCTTGAGAGTGATGGCCGAACAGTGAAGCCTTCACTTGTCCATGGAGACCTTTGGTATGCAAATGCAGGGATTAATGTCGATACTGACCAGCCTCTTGTCTTTGATGCGTGCAGCTTCTTTGCGCACAACGAATGTAGGTTCTCCTATGAAACACCCACAATTGCTTATGCTAAACATATTGAATTTGAAGATGAGTTTGGCCAGTGGCAACCAGCTTGCAATAGGTTTGGGGATGAATACGTTGCTGCCTACAATAAATTCTCTCAGATTTCCCCACCAGAAGAGGACTTTCAAGGTCGTCTGGACCTTTATAGACTGTGAGATACCTAGAGACTATCTCTCTGGTCGAGGTCGCTAATATCAAGTAGGAGGTTCGACACACATGTGTCCGCGCTTTTTGTCGAGAACAAGACACTTCGTATACAGTGAGGATATTCCGAGCCAACATTTTAGTTTGGCGGCTGATGAACAAAATAGGGTCCTTGATGTCATGAGAGATTTGGTGCAGAGATATGGTTCATAGACAGCAGAAATGATACTATGCTTGTTTCCTAGTTTGTAGTCCTATAAATATGCAAAAGGTCTTGAACCATGTATTACTCATGCTTAGGGGAAGACTCACCTATGAGCATTAAAAGGACGGAAAAGAAGTGAGATCAATAGAATTGATCTACCTAAAGCCAATGAAAATAGAGGGTTGCGCTCTTAAGCTCTGCCTTCCCGTCCAACGACAATGCAATAGATGAGACTTCAGACCAGTCACACCAGCAATAGGTGCAGGCTTTGAAGTTGTTGACACAGACAAGGTGTAGAGAGGATTCGGGGTGGGAGATCCATTTGCGAATTCCTGGCATTTGCGGGTATGTCCGCTCTCTCTCATGCGTACCGCTGTCCAAGCTGAACAGGTGATCAGACTCGCGAGTCGATACCAAGAACTTCGCCGCCGTTCCTCCTACTAGCACATCTGTGATTGCTTTGTCGGAATCGAGGTGGGCCTTGAACAGTACAGTCATATTGCAGAGCCAACCTTTGTCTTCTGAGTTATGGATTGTGTGTACAAAAATTCTGTTGGAAGCATCGATGCTTAGGAGGGCATCTCTCTGTTCAATCCAGGCTAGCAGGCGGACTGGTGACTTGTGGCTGTAGAGTGTCCCTAAGCTCGCAGCCGTTTTTCGTTCGTATAGCACCACTGATCCATCATCCTTTCTGTAAAAGATCACTTCGGAAGTATGATGGATCACCATGGCAGTAATCTTTGCTTTGGCTTCCATAGAAACCGCCTCGACCACTGTAGTAAAAGTGGCCCCGCTGCTGTCATCGCTCATGGACTTTCGCAACAAAGCTTCAGGTTCCCATATAGTGCACTGTGTTTGTTATCTCTCAGATGCCATAGGCTCGCCATCCCATAGTTACTGACTATATAGTCAGTTATCTTTCCTAGTTTGTACAGTAACTCTACAACAATTTACATATTGTATACTATTGTCTACCATCGTAGACATTAATAGGTTATAAGCCCGGGAGCTTATTATTAACGGTTTAACTACTAGTTAATATCCCCAGTGTCTGTGTATGTCTCCCTACACACAGGGGTGGTACTAAGCCTAGTACTACTTAGTTAAAACTCTCGCTTTTCTTACCTCCGCCTACCTAGAGATCTTACCTATTTAGGCAGTAGGAATAGCTTTAGGTTTACAGCTTGTTACTGTTGTTAAACCTAGACCTGGCAGTGACCCTCCGGGTGGTCCATGACCTTGGACCCTCCGAGGGTCCAGCGACCCGCCAAGACCTAAATTTTGACATAAATATATATAAATCATGGTTTATAAGCATATTATTTCCTAATTAGGATAGGTTATGCATGCATAATTTCCTTGGCGGGTCCAGAATCCGGACTTTGGACCCTCCTTAGCGTCTTGGCGGGTCCAAATGGAGGGTCACTGCCAGGTCTAGTTAAACCTGCCAAGGTAATAGGTAGGCTCTGTTTTGTATAGGGCTCTCCCTGCTAGGCGTTATTATCTTAGGTCCTAGAAATTAATATATTAAGTGTTAATTA